GGAGGAGGAGGAGGAGGAGGAGGAGTGCCAAGTAAGAAAGGAAGAGAGAAATAAATAGAGAAGAAAGGTGGGAAAAAAGAGAGGGAGGCGCGCCTCGAGAACTTGAAGACGAGGTCAGGACGTTTTCTCTGGGACTTGCGCGTCTCTACACTCGGTTCGACGCTCGCGCTTTAGCCCGAAGCGCGCTGACGCTCCTAACCCTGTCTCAGTCTCTCGTGACGGGGTGCGCAGGACGTAGGTGGAGCATTCGTCGCGGTAACAGCACGTACACCTGCTCGGAGCTTCGTAGGAATTAAAAATTTTTATGAAGGCTTAGTGTCGATATGAGAAAATGTGTCGGACGCTTTAAGCGATCTATCAGGGGCTTATAAAAACGAATTTTTACTTACAATCTCGCGGCTTTAACGAATTTAAAACAGTACGTTTATGTAAGTGAGAGAGAGAGAGAGAGAGAGAGAGAGAGAGAGAGAGAGAGAGCTCTGAATGTGTAGGGCATTTGAAAATTCTGCATCGCGGCGTACGAAAATACATAAGCTTCCAAATGCTTTTTCAAGCGAACCAGCATAAATATGCAATTCAAATCATTCCCGATTCATTGTATATTTTCGTTCGTTTCCTATAAACGCGGTATTTCGTGTTTTTATAAGATTAATGGACTTATGGATAATGAACATTGTTTATGAATGTTTGAGTATAAATACCGTTCTCTATTTTTGTATGAATGATTAATGTACTTTCGTATTTCAAAGCTGCACCAAGGTTTGTTCACGCGAATTATTGAAATTCGAAACTTAGACACAAAGTGGAATTGGTATTCAAATATTGATCCTCTATCTTTCAGGCGTAGAAATGGCCAATATATTATGCATTTACGTATGCGTAAAGTGGTTCGGATTTTTTTCGTACGAGCCAGCAATGTGATAAATCGTGTCTAGAGGTGTTAAACGTTGTTGACTCATACTGGAATTCGCGGAATGTGTTGGAGTTGTCAGAAGTCTTAAAAGTGAATAACCAAATAACTTTATACGAGAGACAATGAATATTAATATAAATATTGCGCTTCTTAATTATTGGATATGTGCTATTGTTGCGTGAACAGGATTGAATATCTGTTAATTATTATACGCCATTGGACATAAGATTTTTCGTGAAAAATTCCCTTGCCATGTAAATTTATCCTCTTCATTCGGCTTTCTTTACTTCATCCCACTCCTTTAATCTAAACATACTAACGAGTTAAATTAACAAATGAAGAAATTTGAACGTCGATTGCAGCTTCGAATGAATTTTATTGGGATATTGCTACAATTTAAATGAAATGAAAATACTCTACGATCGATACGATCGATGATTTTGTCAATTTTTATATAACATAGTTCATTCAACGTAAACCGTCGACTCCCAAAACCCCCCTATCCCACCTCTCCCATATCGCCGAAAAATCGTCATTATTAATTAAATGGAAAAGGGCGTTCTTAATTAATCCCGTGGGTTTCAAATAATATTAGCTGCTCGTGTTCATTTTCGCGTTACAAGCTTATCAAAATAGCCTATAAAAGATTATATATAGGCAGTAAAGAGTAAAGTCGGTGTTCGATGTAAAGAAGAAAGAGTAAGACAACAAAAGGGTATTCTCAATATTAATTGCAAATCCTAAAACTAATAAGCATGCTATTGTCTTTCATAATGAAAGCTCCAAATTAGCTTAATTTAAAAACAGCGTATAAACCAAGTTAGCGCGTGTAATATACTTTGCGAAAGCAGTACTGGCATGTAAAAGAATTCGTGAATTTCTTAAAACGACGTCCTCAAGTGCCGCCGAAATGACCGAGGATAGCCTTTGCATTTTAACAACTCAAGTTGTCGAAAAATTCCCTTCCTAAGGGCGTCCGTCGAACGTGCCTCTTCATCCTGTTTCATCCCCCCCCCGGCCCCTTTACCGCGATCCAACACCATTTCACCCCCTTTCACCACCGCCCCACCACCGTCGCCCCACCCAATCGGCAAGGAAGGCTAGGACGGACATTAAAGGCCGTAGGGAAGCGTGGGGCAGGCGAGCAAGTCAGAGCGTCGAAAGCTCGATATTATCGGCGCTTCCAATCCCGCGCGGAATAAGGAAGGAAGAGCCACTACCAACGCTGCTAGACGTCTCCTCGCGCAAGCCTCCCGCATCCTCCCGCGTCGGCCGTTTTCTCGGCGGCGCGTGTTCGGCATGCTCAAGTTCTGCTCGCCGGCCCAGCGTCGGCGCAGCTGCAACGCCGCCACCAACACATGCACGACTTATACGGTGAGAGAACAACAAGCGCCGGCAGGGGAGAGTCGCGCGAATTAGCCGCGAAATATCGTATGCCGCGGGCGTTCGAGCTGCGTCTTTTCCCAACGCGAGCCGTCTAGACGTTTTCAAAACAGCCTGTGCCAACGCTACAATCGACCCCGAGCTTAAACAAATACGGCCGAGGCTACGCGCCGCCAGTGGGGACGATTTTTCCATACCAGGGAATGAATGGGAGGGACGAAGGCCCGGCTCCATTCGTCGGATAAAAGCGCGCGATCCTAAGGGGAAAGAAAGTACAAATTAGAGGTTCGAATGTAACGCGCTTACGAATATATAAAGCGAGAGAGAGAGAGAGAGAGAGAGAGAGAGAGAGAGAGAGTGAATATAAAGCGATTCATTCGTGCCCGGGCACCAGTGGTAAATACCATCTGCAATTAAATCTGTATTCTACTACGTCATGTTTCCTTGTCATTCGCTTTATTCGCTCATACGGATATTCGCTTAAACGGCCATTAATGCGCACGCTAGCGCATGGAAGAGCAGCTTCGATTACACTAGCACCCTCACTTTCTTCGGCAATGTGAAAGGGCGTTGTGACTAAATGCGCGCCATCGAAATCTCCATCGCTTCCCAATGCTTGATTACTCGATTCGCGCGCGAATATCGGAAAAGTCTGGCGCCTAATGGCTAGCAACCGCAAATACAAGGCTGCACGCTGTTGGAGTATTCGGTAGGGAGATCCGTGCGACACCTGACGGCGTTGACGACTCGTTTATCGTCGATTTCTCGACTCGGCCGCCGCGTCGTTATTTGCTAATCAGTCATTTAATTTACGGCGCTATCCCGGCTGACATGCCAATTTATTGGACTTTACGTGTGACGACGTCATTCCTAAGCTCCAAAGTTCTTTTAACATCGCGAGATGTTAATTCCGTACTACCACAAGCTATGATTGGACTGCTTTGCCGCTAATCGATGGCTCGAATAATAGTTCGACCATGCTAAAGCTATATTGACGGCCTTTACTCTCCTAAACTATAAAAATAACTTGTTTCTGATTTCTCTATTTATGTATTATTATTTATTGTTTTATTTCTATGCCTTGTAAATCATAAAATTTCTTGCATTGTGAAAAACTTGTATTGTTGTTCAGAAATTTAGGTAAATAACAGGATGCTTAAAACTGTACTTAAGGATGCAAAATTTTATCACAACATTCTTTGGAATGAAAAGAGCCGAAAACAATAACAAAAACCAAAAAAAAAACACAAAAAAAAAAGCTTACTGCAAAAAAATTTTTACTTTTTTAAAAATATCCACACTTTCACAACGTAAAGTAAGTTTTGTCGCAAAATTTAATAGAGTAATGACTACTAATCTTGCGATTAATTATCTGCTAATTTTATCTGCAAATTAATCTTTACTATTTAACATACTATTAATTACTTTTCATGATATTATATAACCACTTATATTAATATAATAAATAGTTTTTATTTTTTTTTATTCTTTAAGCCCTTATGAGATCGTGTAGTTAAACTGTAAACATTGACGACCGACGATGGTAATACTTTCTAGATCAGTTCTATATTTTCTCCTATCCCTGATCTCATTTTTCCAATGTATTTTCAAAACACTATATCGATTGTACGTGCGCAGAAATATTCCAACGAAAATTCAAGGCTCCGATGAAATCATTCACACGTGGTTTTAGTCGAATGAGAATTGTAGACAATATTTATCTTCATTATTTTTGGCGATATTATACAAATGTTTTAGCTTTTTACGAGCAAAGTCAGGGAGCATTTTCAAGGTAATTCATTCCCATGTGTATTCGCCTGTGCGACATGAAAGCAACTTCGATAATAACACAATGTGAAAAGAACAAAAAAAAAAAAAAAAAAAGAACAAGAAAAAAAAAAGAAAACAAAACAAAACCCTGGTAATATCGATAAACAAAAGCGATTCTAACTCTTATAAACATAAATAGAATCGGAGTAAAAATAAACAGCCGGAATGAAATAAAAAGAAAAAAAAGAGCGTGTGGAACTATTAGGCAGCGAATGATTCTCCGCCGAGGAAAATGACGTAATTAAACACGAGATTATGCACGTATATTACAAGGTAAACATTTATTTACAAGTCGCGCGCTCCAATTGTATGTGCACGTAACGTAAGCCTGATGCACATCAAAGATAATTTGTAACTCGCTTTGTGGCATTTAGATACACCCCCGTACACCATATTGCAGGGCATCGTGATAAACGGCGGGACAGAAGGTCAGGGAAATAGTGCAAAATAATTTGCGCGCGACTCGAGTGTACGAATGACTGGAATTCCTTATGCTAGTAGAATTATAATTCCAGTGAGAAGTTTTTGTCGGGCCGATGCGCCCGATTGTATGGATTAAGAAAATAAATGGCACGGAACTACGAGGCGTCCGAGTTCCGCTAATACCATTGCCCCAACCACG